CAACTATTGCTTGGGATTATCTGGTAGAATTGGTTGTTGTTGTTCAATAATTAACTTAATTAGCACATTGTCAATCGATCTAATCCTTCATTAATTAGTAATAGTAGACATTGCCGATTGGTTACAGTTACAGAAAATTAGTTGCTTAGCGTTAGACATTTTGCAATACAATTGTTACGATACACCACTTTTCAATCTGTGCAATGTTTTGTAAACTGACTTTCCTTACCTGTACTTTAACACACCCATAAACCCCCATATTTACAACCCCGTACTACACGAACCACTGGTTTGCGTTTTCTCAATACGGCAGCGTTCCTTATCCTTGTCATAGTTAATCATCCACGGTATGGAGCCGTCTTTTAATGTAGTAATTCAGTTGTTAAGGCTTTTTTTTCAAAAGAGTAAATCGAGGGCTATACCCTTAGCTGAAGTTACACCGGGGTTTCATCCGAGGGATCTATTGACAATCACAACTACTTTTGCATGTAGTGAAAGTCGATGGTTACACACTGTTTTATCTTGTGACAGTGCCCCATCAGGATATATAGCCTTCTTTGAAATATGCGAGGTTGAATTTAATCTTACCCATAGATACCTCCCTGTTATTGCCTTTCGTATTTGATGGCTAACATTGCCTAGAATAGAGAATTCAGTGAGACCTAGTAAATCCGTTTTCAGGCCGGTGCTGCCCTGCTAAACACCGTGGTTTGTTTCCGACTTTAAACCCCACGTTAACCATCCGCCTCCTCCGCCGCTGTAATTTGTTGACTTTCTAGATTTTATACCAACACTTTATCTACTTCAGCCTGCCGATGCGCTATCGGAGGCCGCACGCTATCTGCAACCACTTGTGGAACTTTCAAACAGCCGTATCGAAACTCACTGCCTGGCTTACGAAATTTATGAACGCAAGGGTACGTTTACTCATATCTTTTCTCGTGACAATACTCAGCTTTAAACATTCGTCCTGCATAAAGAACTTCCCATCTGAAGAATTGTGTGGAATTGAATTGACTACTTTTCCGAAGACTCAGCCGTGGTTGTTACCGCAACATTCAGTTAACGTTATCGAAATGTAGAGTCAACTTTCAGTGACCACTTCCTGTCTGGGCCGCCGCATGCTATGCACTTCGTGAGTTGATTAGACTTAAAAAAGAAGTCGAGTACAGACCAGACAATTTGTTCGCTTCACTATAAATTATTCAGGGGCACAAATGCGTCTCATTTTGGAGTAGTGTCTGTGCCGGTGTCTGGCCACCTATTCCAAGTATGTAACTAGTTTTGTCAGGCATCTTTTCATTTTTGTATTTTGTACTTTGAACGTTCCAAGCTGAACACCCATGCATGCGGGCATTCTATTGCTTGCAGTGCGTTACTATCATGCCCAGACAGTATGCGGCTTGTCTAAGCTGACGGAAACCTCGTGCCAGCTGTCCTGCTTTTCATCTGTTTAGGTCTGGTTTTTACTTCGAAGTTTTACCGTTCCACTGAATTTTATACGTTAGGTGGCCTCTCAAATATACTCCTTCCGTCAACATCCAACTGGTCCTTTATAAGAGTTCTAAGTTGGGCTAAATTAAGTTCTACGAATTGCTCTTCCATTTGTATATTTTTATCCCAGCGGGGCAACTGTGTGGGTAAGGACGTACTTCTGCCAACTCATCTTCTAGAAACTGGTATAAGAGTTCCCCCATGTTCAACCCTACTAGCCTAAGCTATTATGAAAGTGAAAAGTTTGTGATCCGGGCACCCTAGGTTAGGATCGTGCATCACTACAATAGTATCGGGTGGTAGTACTGCTACCAACAGACGATCCAAGTTTATTGTTCTATCATCAAACCAGAATTTGCCGCAAACACACCGCTTGCGTTCTGATCTGCACCTAGTAACTTGTGTTTTGGTTACATGCTTCGTTGGACCGATGGGTGTATATTTTCCTCATTATCCAGCTTTCTTGACTTCTCACGTACAGAAAAGTGGTTACTGATGCTTCGCTCGATTCGTCGCGGTTTGGCTCTACCTGGTGCGGCCGATCATCCCTGGTTCAACGAATGCACAGTACGATTCTTAAATCGCCTAAAACAACTGCCGAAGCCCACGAACGAAGGAGGTGCTCTTGTTCACGAGGTGTTGCTCGAGGAAGTTCGCTCTGTGTTCTCAGTCCCTACAAAATCGCCACTTCCGGACGCTCTGAAGTACAACGAGGAGTTTCTACGAAGGAACTCCAAGTCTTTCATGCATGTTTTTCGAGGTACGAACTAATAGTAAATGACGCGTTGTGTCACACGGACTCACGTATACTGGGTTTATGTGATATATGCTCTAAACATTCTATTCGTGATTCACCTGTTGTGCTATTTATTTTTACTTCGCTCGATTTTTCGGATAAAATATTCTCACCTCAATTTTTTGACGATCTTCGACTGGTAGTCTATGTTAAAATAAGCGTCTTTGTGTAACTTCGGACGTTCTATTTATTCCGTTTTCATACATTGACAGTGACTGTTAATGTATTACAAAACTTCAATATATTTTACTTCTGGATGCGCAGTCGTATTTATAGCGTGCACGCACTTCGGTATATTATCTGTTGTCCCTGTTTTTATAGACAACGTAAGAATCGTAGCTTTTTGCCTTTAGTTTCTGCCTCAGTTTATTTAAAGTAAGTTACAGAGAATCGTTCCCGTCTCTGCTAGATGCGTTAGAGATGAACTGATTAAGCCCATTCCCACCTCTAGAAGGCAGCTTATCTCTTCACACCTTGATTACTCGATGTATCAGAAATCAATATTTATTTGGTGACACATCTGAAAGTCAGCGTCACACCGGTTGCACCAACTTATAGTAAATGCAGGAGTTTATAGTACTGCCCAAATAATTATAAGTGATTTGAATTTCCCTTCTTTCACTCAGCTCTCATTTCTTTCAGGCACCCTTACAAAGGCCATTGTCGACCCCGAATCCGCCGCTTCCCATCTGAAACAGTTGCCCAAAGCGTCAGCCGAAGATCTGGGAGAAATTAAGTGGGATGTAAGTGTCTTTTACGCCTAGTTCGCTCTTTTCTAATCTATTATGTCGCTTCATCGACTGCTCTGTGATTATGCAAATATTTACATTTCTCAGGTGCGCCCTAACAAATTGGTCCACATTGATAGTTTTATCTAAAGATAATAGGTCTGGTATCCGGTAGCGCGTTTACTTATGGGTTTTACTCCTCAAATGAAAGTAGAAATTCGTTTTATAGAGTGTCTTCGAAATTCACAATGATTTCTTAGGGGAGGGGCATTTCCGTCTTAGCCTGTAACCAGAAGCAAACATATAATACCTAACGTCACAAGTTACACAGCAGGGCGATAAAAATTTTCCCTTTTTAAATTCATTATAGCTAAAATTTTTAACCATTGCACTCAACATAAATATTTCACTGACCTCTTGTCTATGGTACTGCCCGTACAAATATATTTATTCAGCGTCGCGGGCGTCATGGTACGATAGCGAAGTCTTAAAA